TGCGGGAAGGAAGGGACACGCGCGCCTGAGCCGGCAGCGGTGCCGACGCGACGCAGCTGGAGCGCCCGTCGCGCTCGCGGCCAGCACGGCGCCCTGCTGCGCGGCACCGCTCCCGTCTCGCCCCCACGCGTGCCCAAAGAAACTCGAAGCTTGGACAGAGCTTCCCTCCCGCTAGCCCTCTCTCCCGGCAAGGCGAGTGCCAGTGAGAGGGAAAACGGAGGACACGCCAGCAGGTTTCCAGGGAATGCGGCTGCTCTGAAACCTGCCTGCTGCCTGCCAGGGTGCTGGAAGCACTAACGGGTGACTGAGATGGTTTGATCCGGCATCCCTGGGGCAGGAATTGCAGCCATGGTGCAGCCTGGGCTCCCGCACCCTCCCGGAGCCCGCGGGTGCCGGCGCCGCAGGGCGCTCGGGCTCCGTCGCGCGCAGCCGCGTCCTCACCATCAGGAAGGCCGAGTACACCACCCTGCGGGCCGTCGGGATGATCTGCCCTCCGCCCCGGTGCAGGGGCTCCTGAGCAATCACGGCATCCAGGATCTTAAACTTCACATTGCGGATCACTGGGGAGGGGAAGAAATGACAGCAAGTGACCAGAGGGGGATGTTCTCCACCCTCTTAGCACCAGCCGGGCATCTCCAGAGACCTGAGCACACTGTAAAACCTGAGAGCCACCAGGGAAGGTTCCTAAAACGAGGCCAAAAAGGACAAAGGTGACCATGTCCAAACCCTGCCCACCCACCCTGGAGAGGTGATTTATAGCACTTCATCCTCCAGGTGCTCAGAGCTCTGGCAGGAGCAGAGCCAGAGACCTTCTTTGCACATAGACACTAAGTGCCGTGGCCTGGGTGGCACCGGCGTCGGGGAGAGAGGGGGAGTTTATCACCTCCCTCGTCACCCATCGCCAGACCTGTCCCCAGCTCTCTGCTGTGCAAGGACAACCGCTCGCGGAGGGACGTGGTGCTTGGAGCCAGCCCTGCACCAGCCAAATCCCGAAGGTTCTTATGGAGGGCAAAATTCATCGTTTTGATCAGCTTCATTCCTACAGGCCCCACTTACATTCATCACAGAGGGGCCCTTCTCTGGTTCCCCACTGAAATCCTTGTACAATGCTGTCCTTCACGGAGCCCAGCAGCGACTTGTCCACCTACAGACACACAGACAGACAGAGACTTCCGAGACTGCATGTGGACTGCCAGGAATCAACAGGCAGAGCCCACTGTTTCAGAGGCACTTCCTAGAAGAGCAGCTCTGTCCCCCTCTACCCCACGCTGACTGTTACTCCCTGTTGCAGCTCAGGAGCATCATCTTCAGTTTGGCATCTAGAGCTATAAATGTAGAGTCTGGATTTTGTTAATGCTTAAGGCCATTTTGTTGCCAGCTTTGAAGACTTTAAGTCAAACAGCAGGAACTCACAAAAATCACAGGCAATTTACTCACCAGGGCATGACTGCATCACAGAAAATACAACAAGTCAGAGCTAGCAAACCAGTAAACACTGCACCCACACGGGGACCTTGCTAGCAGGTCCACAAAGGAGCTGCAGACACCGCAGCACTAACACGTCCCGCTGAACCCCAACCCAGCGCCCACATCTCACCTCGGAGGGCAACGTGTCATCGACCAGGATGTTTGGGCCGGTTGCATCAGGCCCGAATGCCCAGATGGAACGAGCAGCCAGCAAATCCCAATCGTATTTGGTCTGGAAGAATTCACCCAGCTTCTTTCTGATGGAATAAGGAAGAAACTTTAGAAAACAAATATTCCACCTGCACTAACAACATATTTATGACCCTGTTCCCTGCAGGCATAAAAGGGACTCAGCTTTTTATCTCAAGCACCTTGTTTATTGAGGCAAAGATGCTCATGGATTAGCTGGAGTCAACACTGGGACAAAAATCCCTGCCTAGAGGCTGCTGTTTAATACCATGTGCCTCAGATCTCCAGGGCTGCCTATCTTCCCATTGTTTGCTCCAAGAAGGATTCCTGCTTTCCCCTAGTTACTCCTACCTGTTCCATGTTATCTGCACCACTTCATTCTCGATGTCCTCAGCGAGTCCCTTCTCCAGAGGCTCAGCAATCATCGTGATCTTGTTCCTGAGAGGTGAAAGGGTCACAATTATGCCACAGAGTTATGGCAATGGGATAACTGGAGGACCTCGGGGATTGCTCGCTGCCTAGGACGTGGCTGGGGAGGTTTGTGCTCTCGGGTGCTGCCGTCAGGCTGTAGAGCTGGAACCCGCGCGTTTGCAGCCCTGCTCCTCAGGACCGTTCTCCCAAATCCGCCCGTCTCCAGAATGGGATCCGGAAGGGCCAGGACTGCTCCCTCCCTCCTGCCAGGCACCCAGCTGCAGAAGGAAGCAGAGCCAGGCCCGACCAGGCCAGGGACCAGGTCAGTGTCCCCCTGTCACCAGCAGGACCAGGTGTGTCAGACATTGCCTCAAACCCCACCAACACACGGGAAGTGCCCCCAGATCAGGTCGCCTCTGCATGCCCAACAGTTCAAACTTTTCCTCTTCCCAGAAGTAATGTTTCCAGCCACAGGGAGAGTGCACCACAGTAAAGCAGTGCAAGAAAAATCAGAAACCACAGTGGAATCCAGGAAAGCTCTGCTCAGGATAACATGACAGACAACGAGTGCCAGGAAAATTCCGGCATAAAAACACGCCGGGCTCACAGATCTTATTCTGTGAACATTTCCTGTGTTATCTCCCAGATCTCCCTCCTTCAACTATGTCCATCTCATAATGCACTGGCGGAGAAGGACGACAGGACCAAGCAGTAAGGCCAGAAAGAGCAAATCTATTCCAAGACTGAGAATGTGCAAGAAAATGGATTTGGGGAATAATGAAGGCAGCAGTTGGCTCTTTGGCAACTCTTCTGGCCCTAGGATATATTTCTTAGTCTCAGAAACACCAGACAAGTGCTGAGAAGGTCACAATTTACTGCAAAATTTAGTTAAAAGAAGAGACAGAGAGATATGAATCTCTCTGTTTCCTCTGTTTTGAGAAATACTAGGAAGTGCAGAAACATCCTCGGGACTGAGTGTGTTATGGAAGGGTTTAACAGAGCTGCTGCAGTGGAAGGCTGCAAACCTTGGACCCCTGCCACTTTCATGGGCAACAGCTGCTCGAGCAGACCCCTTGGAGGCAGCAAAATTTCGTCTCCAGCAGCCCCCTCCATCTGCCTCGTCTCAGGCTCTCCCGGGTTGCCAAGAGTTCTTACTTCTTATTCGGTGTCTCGGCAAAGCACTTCAGGGAGGACGTTTCCACCACCGTCTCGCAGAACGTCACAACCGGATCAGCAACCTGCAAGAGCAGCAACAGGGTTGCAGGGGGCTTTGTACTACACAGGTTCCAGCAATACTTTGCTGGGCCAAGGAGACTAGCTGAAATCTTTCAACACCTGCAGGAAAAACCTGGCTCCTCTGCCAGACTTTGAGTTGGTGTTTCACATGCACCACTGAAGCCTGCACAGGCAGCTGTAGCAACTCTGTCACCCAAACAAGAGAGAGAAACTTTAAAGCTGAGCAGAGTTGTCTATCCACAGACATCCCTCAGCAGAGACATCTCTTCTTTCCTGATCGGGAAATATATTGATCTCCATTGATGTTGGCCATGCGATGGCTGGAGTAAAGGAAAGGGCTGGGACACGCTCACCCGCTGCTCTCCATGGCAATTTTAGGCTACATGGTCCAATACAACTAGGCTGTAAGAGCAACTTTTGTAGATGGACGGAGCTTTTGTTTTTAAGGAAAGGTGACAAAGCCCATGCTGAGGAGCAAGGGGCGCTGCGTGCAGCAGGAGGGCAGACCTGGCAGTGATGAGAATACCTCAGCTCCAGGTACTGGAGCTTACCTTCTCCAGGCCCGTCACACAACCTCAAACCCACCAACCAACCTCCTGCACGAGAAAAGCTGGCTGCCACCTCAGCATGGGGCAAGGCATGGCCAAGGCATGAGAAGGCACCTGAAGCTACAGCCACAGAAGTCTCTAGCAACTCACAAGCAGCTGCAGGGAGCTCATTGCAATGAACCCGTCAAGCTCCCTCCTCCTGAACTGGAGAGGGACCAGAAGACGACAGAAACTCTACATTTTGCTAGGTTTATTACTGCACCCCTCTGACTAATGGGGACAAAACTACAGGGGATGATCTCCCTCTTTCATTTCCTCACCTTGATATCAATCTCTGAATACATCTTGCGCAGATCATGCATCACACAGTCCAGATAGAGCTCCCCCGTCCCCAAGATCACGTGTTCCCCAGACTCTTCCACCTGAAAAACAAGAGCAGGGTTTAACTTGCAGCAAACTCATGCTGAATTGACCACCAGCCTTTTCTAGCAGAAAGTGCTCGTGTGCTCTGCAGAAAGCTGCCTCCATGGCACAGCAAGGCATGTGCATTTTTGCTTGATTTACAGCATTCTGCTCTTTCCACCTGGTTTACGAGATCAGCTGCAGCCGCATGAGAAAACCCACAAGAGCAAAATAACCCACAGTGAAAAAAACAGTTTGTCTTTCAAGATCAGCCTACAAAGCAGCCCAAAGCACGGCCTGCAAACAGCCCAAAGTCCAGAAGTACCTTAGTAGTAAGCGATGGGTAACTCTTGTTGACTTTGCGGAGACCATCTAACATTTTGGGCAGCTCAGAGGGATTGACTGGCTCCACAGCGATTTTGATGACAGACGTGGTATTGAACTTCAGAGGACGGAAGATCTGAGCCTGAAACCAGACAAGAACAGAGACTTGAATCTCTGCATCATGAGATGGATGCTGGAATTGGACAAAGCACTTGGATAATCTCCTATTAGTGGCTGTTGTGCCCTGGCATCTTGTCATAGAGTCGTTGGCTTTTTTTTAACGCTGCCACCAGAGCTTTGAAGATGCCCCCCATGGCCTTGCCTCCCTGCCCCGCCGAGGGAGCCGCGCCGAACTCGGTACCTCCTCGTTTCCTCGCGGCTCCGTCACGGTTGCCGTCTTCACGATGGGCTGGTCCACTCCTTCGATGAGCACCCAACCGAGATCCAGAGCCGTCCCACAGTGCAGATCTGGGAATCCTCCTCATCCTCCAGGGTGTAGTTTTCTCCAAGGACCTTCACAGGCTGCCCAGCATGGATGGTGCCACTGAGCACTCTGCCAAAGGCGTGGAACTGAACGCCGTCGTCTGTGCTGTACATCTTTGTGGTGTGACACATCAGTGGACCCTTCCCGCAAAACAGAGAGAGAAATAAGCCTTTTCTAACATAAACAGACAAGCAGCAGACACAGACCTAAAAGGACTCATGGAGAGAAAGTGATTAATGGGCTGAAACATCAAAAGAAGTATTCCTAAGCCCATAATTTTCCTGGGTGACAAGCTTTATTTCCTCCTTCTTCATACCAAGCCCCTTGGAATGGCCTTGGTACACTTTTCTGGTGCTCTACCCCTACTCTTGTGGAACAATAAATAGCAGTGAGGACAAGGCCACAACTTAGGTGGAGTATGTACAAGGAAAAGCATGATCTGCAGTCGATCATGCCCCTGCAGGGCACAACAGCTGAGCTGCTGCAGGTTGCAGCCTTCAGCCCCAAAAGGTCACTCTACAGCTAGTGATGTAGTGACAATAACCACTGTTAAGGTTTCATGGAGATACTCCCAACTCAGAAAGTCACGGACAGGTTCTTCGTTAGGCAGATCGTTGGTACAGGTGGCTCTGGGCAACTCTGAATGCCAACTCCATGCAAGGCATGTTGGAAGAGGACAGTTTAGTGAGGCTGCTTTAATAGAAAAGAGCCTGGCTAACTCTTGAGGCTATTTTTGTCAGCAGAGTTCAGATCAGTTTTCTCAGTTTGGAAAGAGATCCCAACTTCACAAAAAAGGGACAAAAAGGCAGCAAAAATCACAAAAATCACCCTGCAGGTCCCATGCGCTCTGGAGGCCTGACCTAGTCTCTGCTCTTCGCTGAGCAGTCACACAGTTCTCTCCCAAGGGCTGCCCTGGCAGGCAGCTGAAGTTTCTCAGAGTGAAGAGATTTGTTTCAGTATCGGATGAGAGGTTTCGAGATGCTGGAGGTCAAATCTGGGCAGTTGCCTGCCTAAGAGGCAGCAGCCCTGTCAAGGCTATGAAAGGAGGGGACATTTGCTACACTTTTGAAGATTTAAAGCAAAGAAAAAAATGTTTCCTTACATCAGGGTCGCAGTCGCTCATGGCCTCCCCCAGATCGGAGTCAACGCCGCCCGTGTAGGTGTGCTCGATTTTGGTCTTGGCCCCCACTTTGGGGGAAGGGATGTGTTGCACACACATGTCCACAAAGCCTGGAAAAGCAGCGTCTCATGAGAACGTGGTTAGGCAGAAGACTTCAGGGTACAGAAAAGAAAGAGGCTCCAAGGAAGACAAGCCTTCTGGCAGTGCACATGTGGCCATGGGGAGACACAACCAGCGTCTCGAGGTCTCCTCTGGGGACACGGTTTGTATTTTATGTTTAGAAATGCAAGAGTTGAGACAAGATCTTTGCAAGTGCAAGCAGGCACTCCACAGCTGCAGTACAGCACATAACTCTGTCTTAGCTATCAGGATGACTGTGCAAGAGAAGAGAAACAGCATTTACCTGTGAATTCCCCGAAGAACTTCTTGCAGACAAGCCGCAGGAGGGGTCGAATGTTCAGTTTCAGCTCCTCTTTGGTCAGGTGGATGCCAAGTTCATCCAGAGTCCTGGGCAGGGTCGTGTCCACATCCCCAACCACCTGCAAGAGAGCAAGCACTGCTGGCACCTTTGCCGGGGACACCCACGATGTCGACTCCCAGGCGCAGCCTCACACCCCAGCCTGGTTCTGGGCTCCCTCTGCTTACATGGGAACTGCCTGTTGGGTAAAATAGTCACTTAGCTGATCCCAGAGCATGTGACAAAACCACAGCAAAGGAAGTTCTATTTATTAGCTGTGCAAACCCAAGTGTGAATGTGTAAGGAACAACTGTGAGGAGTTGCCCAAGGATTCTCTGCACCTTCAGTTGGAGAAACCCATGAAGATCACAGTACATAAGGGAGAGTCCTGCAGACGCCACCACCATCTAGTGTTCAGTCCCAGAAGCTCAGGGCCAGAACAGCAGCAAGGAGAGGGACCCACCACATACCTGAGCCAGGATCTTGTAAAGGGGCTCAAGGATGAACTCCACAAAACTGCGCTGGGAACTGCTGGTCGGGGCCTTTTTCGTGAACTTCCGACTGTAGGGAGATAAAACGAGAGCCTTGGGGGACAAGCTGGCGAGCACCCCAGCTGCCAGCATGCTGGCACAGCCTCTGCTCTCCTCAGCTTCTCTTGTCCTCCCTCCCAGTCTCCCTGGGAAATGCTCATGGACACAGGAGTCACTCTTACTCCAAGCAAAGACCAAGAGAGACTTTCTGCTCCCGCTTATGGGTTCAGAACAACCAGAGTCCGACAAGCAGGAAGCCTGACTCAACTCTCCCCAGCTACTCCTTTATCATAGGATCACCGGATAATCCACGTTGGAAGGGATCTTGGGAGGTCATCCAGTCCATGTTCAGAGAGCAGGGAAAGGAAAACCTAACAGACATTCAAATGAGTTTCTTACGTCTTCGGGTTGAAGTAGATGTCACCCCAAAGCCGCTTTGCAAACTCCTGGTAATTGATATCACCTAAGAGGAAAAAGCAAAGAACAAAAATCTCTGACATCACTAATAAAATGCATTTCTCCCATAAAATGAAAAAGCAATAGTTTCCAATAAAACAACCACAAAGATTCAATGCAATGAGCCAGTGCTGGTGGGTAGAACGAGGCAGCTCCAGAGGGTACTTTGCCCCACTCCTGAACAAATATCTGAACCCTGATCTGGGAAGACCATCCAGGGAGGAGGCTTGAAAACAATCCACTGAGGATGGCACCAGCAGCCCATGTCAACACGGGTTTGACCACTTGCTTCTCAGGAGCGTTTCAACCATCTCAGCTACACAAAAGGTTACGGGTGAGAACAGCTGGCTGGCCTGGCTCCACGCTGCAGGAATCCTGCTGCATCTGCTTTCTCTTCCAAACATTTTTACACTTCCAAAAGCTAATGCCAAGGTGCTGGGCTGGCTCCACCCTCTGCCCTGCAGCTCTATCACGTGCATTTTCTGCCTTGCTGAACATCTCTGGGTTCTCTTCTCTTTTTTAGCTGATGCACAAAGTCCACAGCCAAATACCCAAGTGCTGAAGAACAGGGTAATGTTGGACTGTCACGGTGGATTTACAGTAGGACAGCAGTGATAATCTAGCGCAGTTTTCAAACAAGCTTTTGCTGTGGGGATACATACAAGCATAAGAAATTTCATGGTGGCTGTGGTTTTGACAGTTCAATGACTATAACTTATGTTAGCTGGAGCTTCTTATAAAATCCCTGCTGGCCACAGCCAAATATCGCTGATTTAAAGTACCCATTCAGCCCACGTCTCCCAGAAAGGATGAAATCTCCTACTGACTGTGCCCGTGTGCACTCCCTGAAAGGAGAATCAGTTTAGAAGGTAACGAGTGAATTCTGTGGTGTCAGGGAAGTCATTTATTCCTCCAAACTCATGAGGGCACATGATATTCTGGCACACCAGCCCCTGACCTCTCCAGCTTCTTCCACCCTGAGGCCAACTGCTTTGCAAGAGCGAGGCCAGCTGCTTTAAAATATCCTTCTCCTCTGCTCTCTGCTCCTGCAGTTCACCCAAAATTCCCAGGGTGAGAAAATTCTTCAAAATCTTAGCTGCCCGGCCGGGTAACGCAAGCAAAATGCCCACTTGTACACGTGGCACATTGCCCTGGGTTGGCAGCTGGGGAGGACAGAATTAAATCAAAGCCAGAAAAAGACAGTTTCTTAAAAAAGACTAAAGGGCAAGAGTGCAAAACCTCATGGGCCAAGCTTGTGCCCGGCTGCAGCTGTGCCTCAGACTCCGGAGACTTTTATGAAAAGGAACTTAACTGCTTCACTTCAGAGCTGTTCTGGTAGGGAGGCAGGGTGTGATCAACAAATCTGCCTTCCTTTGTCATCACAGGGTTCATTTTTTCTGCTTAAGGATACATACAAGGCACTGGCTTTTGACTTGGGAAATATTTATCAGGAGAAACTATCTAGCTAAAAACAAGTTAGAATCGGATCGCTGCTTTCTACTGGCATGGAAAAAACTGCAATAAAGTCATCTGGACTGAGATTTGCAGTAGCTCTCAATTCCCAGAAGTTCAGGAATGCACATGTTGGCCATACAAGAGCAATGAAAAGCTGAAGCTGAACCCCTTAGAAAGTCTCAACAAAAATAAAGTGTTAGGAAATGAAATGTTAAAACTGTACAAGGTTTCTGGATAATCCTCACCATATGTGTCTGCATAAATCTTTGCAAAAGATCCCAGCGTGAAGCAGATGCTGTACTGTGAACTGGAGAAACACACGTTTCCCAGAAGGGGAGACAGGACCAGGTTTTCATCGGTGGAATACATGCTGAGGGAAGACAGATTTTAGACATAGGAAAAAATATCAATGTTACGAACCAAGACAGACACCTAAATCTACTCCCCACACCAAACAGTAGCGTGTGATAGGGGAGGATTCTGCACTGCCAAACAGCAGCTGAAAAATGATTGCAACGTGCTTGGCTGTCAGAATTTCAGGATCATTTTTGTTACCACAAATTACAAAGAAATATTCACAGATCTAGAACTAACAGGTCACCAGCAGCAGTGCTTTGTATTGTTAGGTAGGGGTTGTTTTCCCTCTAAAAAGAGGGAGCAAAGTCAGTCAACTAAGGGAAAAGACAATGCAAGGCAAATAAGGCACAGATAGAATGGAAGTGATTTTAATGAGTTCACAAGCATGCTAGACAGGATAAATTATCATGCTCTGAACTGCATGATGCCAGTAGCAACGGAACAGAGACATGCAAGTGAAGTCGTGTGCAAATTCAGATCTGGGGTTATACAGGTTACAACACACTCGCAGACAGACTGAGGGGAAGACTGCTATTAAAAAATGACCTGACTGGCAAAGGCACCCCAGAAACAAGGACAGGAAAATAACGGTTGTATTTCACTGTCAAGGTTAGAGATTTCCCTCAGTTTTGGAGGGTAGTCTTGCAGGAAGGTTTCACCAAAGCAATGCTATGGTATATATTTAGGGACAGACAGATTCCCATTTATTTCTTAAAATCTTTTAGGAAATTTGACAAATCTCAGCCTATGGCATGGGACACAGAGAGCACAAAAGTTCCCCCCACCAAGTCCTGTGGCCACTCTCTGTATTGACTGTGGGGAAAAGAAAATTATTCCAGGCAGAAGTCACAAGCGAAGAGACAATATTTTCTTAAACATTAAATTATCTGAGATAAATTTTCAGTGGTTCTGCCTGCTCCATTTTCTATGATTCAACATATCAAGAGTTAAGCTTGTGATTTTAGCAGCCGCAAAGAAAAGCGCCTGGGCTGGAACGAGGACAAGGGGCAGCAGTGACACACGAGCCCTGTACCTGATGAGCCCGTTCACTTCGTCCACGATGTGTCGCAGTTTGTAGTAGGCGTCCGTGGGGGGCAGCTTGAGCTCCAGGATGAGGCGGTCGATCTTGTTGATGCACACGGTGACCGCCAGCCTCTCCTGCACCGCGTGCTTGATGAGCCGCTCCGTGTTGAGCATCACCTGGGGGCGAGGAGCACAGGCACCTCCAGGCACAGCCTCCCCAAAGGGCTCTCCAGGGAAGCAGCGACCCTCACGCACAGGGCTGCAGCCCGCAGCAGAGCCCGCGCTCCGCCAGCGGCGACCAGCTCATCTTGTCAAACGGAGCAGCAGGTGCTAAGGCAACCACATTTCTTGAATTCTACCCCTTGGACATCTCTGATATAAATAATCTGCTCGCTTTTAGGAGATGCAAAGGAGTTAGATAATCAGCCTACGGTTCACATGCATCGTGTCAGATCTGGAAGCAGAAGCCAGGCGCCCGACTCTCTGCTTTGGTGGGAAAGCGCTCTCGCTTTTCAGACCGTCCTCCAAAAACCCTTCACAGAAAGCTGAGCCCATCCCGTGCCTTCACCACAAAGCAGGATCAAAGAATTCAACCTACGACACTTGGAAATTAACCCTGCCACTGACTCACCCCTTCAGCTGCATCAATGAAAAGCACGACGCCGTCCGAAATACGAAGGCCGGCTGTGACCTCATCCGAAAAGTTGACGTGGCCTTCAGAAAGAAACCAGAGGAGAGGGGCAGAGTGAGCAGAGCCCTGATAGCAGCAGCACAGAAGGAGAAAGTGCCTCCTGCTCTGTAGCTTGCCATGCAACTAGCTGCCATGCAGCGAGGCCGGGCACAGGCCACTCTGCTCCCCCAGCAGCAGCAGAGTTCCAGGGAGGGTTAATCCTATTTTTTTGCGAGCAGACACAACTAGTTTAACAGGCACTGCTTTCTTGCATTTGCCACTGTGTTTCCCAAAGCTCAGTGCAAATACTTCAAGAAAAAGAGGACAATTACTTCTCTTGGAAGAACAGGTGCTTCTCCCACCATTGTCTTCCTCCTGTACTTCAATCTCCCTCTCCTTCAGCTGCAACCTGAGAGGTGCCCAGAAACCCTCTTTCCTAAAGCTCTGCCTCCGCTTCCTGCAGCAGGCTCACGGGGATGGCACCCACACACAGGAGCTCGCCAGAGGCTCAAAGGAGGGCACAGAAAGTCCCACTGTGGGGCAATTTGAGAAAACCTGGAAAAGCCTATTCTACATCTGCTTCTCCTATACCCGAGTCAAACTTCAGCTCCATTAACGCTCATTTTGCCTGAAAATTGGAAACAATTGTAACTAAAAAACCACCACAGAGTCATTACTGCAGCAAGTGATTTCAGGAGAACGAACTCAGCTAAATGCTCAGGTTTCCAGACTTGGCTAGAATCACCTACAAAAATACAAAGCCAACACAGGTTTTCCATTTGGGAAAGGAAACTTCCCAGGGTGCCATTGCACTTAAGTGGCACTTCCAGCCAAAATAATGGATGAATGAGCGTTAAGGGTAGATATTTTCATTCTGTTTTTCTGAGTGCCAATGTCCCACTGCAGTCTAATGAAAAAGCTCTTCAATTGTCCTCATTTAACCTGGGCATGTTTTTATTACTCTGCTCCTCTCAGTAGCACCACTGAGAGGGTCAGACCTTCAATACTGAGAAAAACCTTTATTCACAGATTTCTGCTTCACACATTAAGTTGCCTTCTCCTATGGAACTTCCAAAAAAAGAATTTTCAGGATTATATAATCACCTGGCGTGTCAATGATGTTGAAGAGAAAAGATTTTCCTTTGGTGTCTGGCAGAACGATAGTCACTGGAGTGCTCTTGATCCCTACACCCCTCTGAAAGAGAGGAAACAAGGATTATTGAATAAAGGAAAAACAAACAAACAAAAAAAAAAACACAGTGTGCAGATGCAGAGGATGATCAGGAAAAACTAATTAAAAAGATGGAAAGAGGAAAATAACCATCCAGCTCATCCTCCTGACCTCGGGGAGGAAATAGCAACCCCATCTCACTACCCTGCCCAGCCCAGCTCCTCCATCCATCCCGGCTCACACTAGTGAGCTACTGCTCTAACACAACACAGGCCAAGCCTCATTTCAGACAGGGGAAAATATACAATTATACCAGAGACAAAAGACTCTTTTTTTTTTTTTCTGGCTTTCTGTGCTTTTGCCCTTCTGTTGCCATTAAGCTATGCCTCCATGCATAAGATTTGATCATACGGAGTGTGAAGAACAGCATTAAAATGAGGAGAAAAAGAAACAGTTGACAGGATTGTTCTGGACACGCCGATGTAACGACATCGAGCAAGTAGGACAAGATAAGGTTCCCATCCACGTCCAAGCACACGGAGCCAAAGCACCCAGCTTCCAGCCCGGGAAGCCTGGCAAAAAGTACTGTGTATATTGTGAGAGGCGAGTTTCCCTTCTCACCCAGCACTGCTGGGAACAACCCCTGTCACATCCTTCCCTGGAACAGAAGGGAGGCGATAACCGTGGGGCAGATTCTCAATATCACAGAGGTTATCAACTCAGGCGAATAAAAACATGGGCAAAGTATTGAGGGAAAGTGAAGTTGGACTGAGGATCTTTCTGCTGCAAAGATGAGCAGATCATTGAATTTATAAGGAAGACGATCTAAATGTGTAAGGCACAAAAAGATGTTACAGTGGAAGAAGACACTGATTACAGTAAATTAACTGTGAATGAATGAGACAACCGACAGGCTGCAATCGCTGCACTTACCTCTTGCTCTGTGAACAATATATCAGTGTAGCAGAGCTGCAAAGACAGAGCAAAATCCTCAAGTCAGAACAGCACATTTTTGGTATCAAACGCTGTTCTAAATGGGAAATGATAACTCTTTACACATGGTTAGTGTGGCAAATAAGTGACAGCTGGAACTAGGACTGAGCTCTGGCTTTCTAATCCTATAGTCTCAGCATTAAACAACATTTTCCACCCACAGTCTTTCTCCTGCAAAGCCCAGAAGCCAGCTTATGCCATCGTTCCTAAAGGGAGGAATACACCAAAAACTCACTCACATCCTGGTCATAGCGTTTCCGGATTTCTGGGTGCGTCTGTTCTATCAGGCAGTCAACAAAACAAGTCTGAAAAATATTGGACCACAAGAAAAAGCAGATGACTATGTTCAAACAGAAAAAAAAAAAGACAAGTAAATCATCACATCTCTTCCAGGCTGCACAGAGAAAGGTGGGTGGCACATTATTTCCACAAGGATTAAAAAAAAAAAAGACTGCAAATAATTGCATAGCGATAGCAGCAAAAAGAGATCACTGCTGCTGAGAGCAGGGGGTCAAAAAAGCAGTGGTAAAATTAAGCACTGACAGCTCGTTACTACTACTTAATACACCCCTGGGTACTGCTGGGTATCCGACTACCTTGCCGTGATGGAGGTGCCCACACAGAGTCACATTGCGAATTAGCTCCGAGTTATCCATCAGATCTGCCAGGAAACTGGGGGAAGGAAACACAAAAGACTGTTAGAGGATTCCACGGAAAAGCAGAGCCGTTTCGATCACGCTTTCTCCCCAAGGTCTCCACCTGAATCCTCTCCAAGCTTTCATTCTGCCAGTGCCCTGCGGAGGAAGAATCTCACTTTACAGATGGGCAGCATAAGAGAGTTGGAGCCCTAGCCAGATGGCAGTGGGTGGGAGAGTTGGTAAAACTGCTACTGATGAAATATTATTAAATATCTTCCTTCTCTTGCAGTCAGCGTTACAGGAAAAGTCACATCCGTGTATCCAGGCGATGAAATACTTCCACTCAAGCAGTAGCCATTAGTAAAATCAGAGTTGGATAACAGGCACTCCAGGCAGCTTCAAAAGGCAGCCAGAGGGCTCCACAAATCTGATTTTTAGCAAGTTGTAATAGAGTGAAGTTCCCAATGGCTTAAGGAAACAATGTTGGAGCTTAAATCTCTTAAAACTCCCTAGAATCACCAACTGAGCAGGTAATGATGGGCTAGTCCCTTCTAAACAAACCCTGGGGAGAACATAACTGAACTCTAATAACAAGATCCTAAATTAGCAAACCCTCTAAAGATAAGGGGAGGCTACCCAACAAATATCAGTTACCACAGGGTTGTGAAAAATAAGTCCTGCCAAATAATCTCTATTTGAAAAGAGTTTATATTTTAGTCATGTAGCGGACTTTTGCTGTAAGGCATTTAACATGCAACATTTTCATTAGAAGGTAAAAAAGCCCAAAATCAATGGCAATGTAGATTAAAAGCTTGCCAATTGGTCTCAGAATAAGGCTAAGTGGGAAATCAATAGCAAACTTGCATGTCCCTGGTTAAGGGTCTTCCTCTGGGCCTCCTGCTAGCCATTAATATCAATGAACGGGAAGAATTAAAATCCATTAGCAATGGAATGAGCAGAGAACAAGGATCGCCAAAGTGGTAAAAAATAAAGAACACAGGTCACCAACCAAGAGCAAAATGGATTGCTTAAAAAATAAGATCAAGCCTGCTCACTGCTTTATGTCTGCATTTACTGAAGATATCTCTGAATAAGGAACACGGGGGACAGCCCCTGGAAGCAGCTATTTCCAAAAGGGCTGGGGGGGTGGGTCTATGGAAATAACTGACCAAACACAAACTCCAGAGAAACCAAACCTGCCTCCGGTTCTGGGATTTACACTTAGAGACTATGAAACACTGGAAAAGGCTGAGATTAGCCATGAAATGGTGCAGGGGCTTGGAGGATGAGCCTAGCAAGACACTCATACAGCTCAAGCTGTTCGTCTTCAAGCAGAAGAAAGCATATGGAAAAAAAAAAAAAACCTATGTGATGATCAAGAGCCCCTCTACTCATCGACAAAACACAGTTTTAACAGAGAAGGTTAAAAAATGCTTTTAGATAAAAACTGAGATAGAATAATTCAATTTTTAAAACTGTCTGGAATTTTTGAGAGGTTTGCCCCCAGACACTGCTTGGTGGGGTACCACGAGCAGACACCCTTGGTGCAGTTTAGCTCCTGCCTCCTAGTAACACCCACACAGCGTGGGGTGACAAGACAAATCCTGCCTGGAAACTCCTCCCGCAGATAGGAACAAATCCGACACAGCCCCAGGCTGCTGTTCACTGAGATCAAAGTAAAATGTCCCTTCTGGCTGCATCAGTAGGAAGTGGCTGTATAAATATTTCCTGAGTCTATGAGGAAAAGTTGCTTTCAGCAAACCCACCCCGTGAGGGTTCCCAAGCTGCACATCAGCTGTCGAGATGACAACAGATTTAAGCAGCAGAGAAAGAAGCGCTCTACACTGTGCACTGCTGAGGGAAAATATCTGCAAAATCTCATTACTCCTGTGCTTTCGTGCTCTTCTTTTTGGATCAAAGCAGGGGAGGCAGCTGCACTCACAGTTAAATTGCTGGTGTCAATAAGACAGAAACCCAAAGCTGCCTCTCGGCTCTCTCCTCCACACTCGTGCAGCCCCCTCTGCCTCCAGCCCCTGCCTGTGAACAGGAGGGAGGCGCAGCACGGACGGAGCTCAAAGCCCTGCACGTTACTTACTCCATCTCATAGACAGTGACCGGTAACGTCTGTTCCATCAGAGAGAATTTTTTTGTTTTCACGGGTTTAATAATAGGCTCTGAAAACAAGAGAAAGTGCAATAAGAATTGTTATCCATGACCCTGAACAACAGCGTTCTCAGAAACTCTCACTAAACAGGGATGTTTCGCAGCTACAAACACAACTTTCAGGCTGAGAGACTCTTCTCTCTTTTTTACGGGAGAAACAAATGAGATGATTTAAATGCATTTTCCCATCTCTTTAAAACAACCTTCCTGCCAATATCTGTTCTTCAAAGGACGCTTTGGTTGGCCTTTGCAGTAATGCAGAGTGCCAAAAGCTGGGCACTGCCAGACAAACAGGAAGAGTTTATGCATTTTAGAGGCCATGCAGGTTTCTAAGAGGGGTGTTAAAATCGATGAGGGATGAGAATGGAAAACCCCTTTGCCTTTTCCAAAGATGTGCTAAGAGTTTACACGCTCCAAACCCAGCTCGCTGCCTTGCGCCCTCACCGGTGAGAGGCTGCGTGTCCTCCTCCTGCACGATGGTCTCCACCTCGGGCCCGTAGACCTCCTCGGCGGTGGGATAGTACTTCTTGTCCTCGTGCAGCACCACCTCCATGCCGGGGTGGTCCTCGTCGTGGTCCCCCATGTCATCGTCATCGTCGTCATCCTCGAGCTGCAACCAACACTTGCGTTTAGCCGCTGCCACCACGCAGGCCGTGGGGAGGGTTCATGGCCATGGATTTCCACAGAAAGTCTCACGGGAGCAGCCTGGAAAGGGGTTGGGATCCCCTGGAAGGGGGCTGGGGCCCTCGGAGCCCCTCGGTGCCGCGGGGAGCCACCCGCCTAGCCCTGCGGTCCCGTCTGCGCCAACCTCCACCCTGCGCCCACCCCTGGGGATCGAGTTCCCTGTGACTCTGCCAGAGCGGAGGGCGAACCAGGAGGCTCCACTGGCTGACCGCTAAAAAAGCCAAGTGTCACCTGAACTCCCTGAGATCCAGCTGTAACAGAGACTCGAGCAGAAACGGTTTCTCTCCCTTAATCTCCCAGGATTGCAATATTTGCTGGATTTTTTAAAAAATCAACTCTGACCCGCAGGGATAAAATAGGATGAAAACAGAACTGTGGCCTGGGGAAGGGGATGGGCGCAGGGCTGTGCCCACACTCGGACCCGGCCCGGCCCCGCCGCCCGCCCCGCACTCGCCTCGTCCAGGTCCTTGGCCTCCCTGCCCAGCTCGTCGTCGTCGTCGTCGGAGTCCAGCTCCGGCCCGATGTAGTTCCCGAACTCGTCGTACAGGTCGGTGTCCATGGCTGGGGACACGGGACACGCTCACACCGCGAACGGGCCGGACTGAGGCCGCACCGGGCCGGTACCGCCGTGACAGACCCGACCCCTGAGCGCAGCCCCGAAGCCCCGGACCCGGATCCGAACACGAACGTCGGACCCCGAACTACGTCCCGCCCCCCGCCCCGGATCCGGATCCGGATTCGGACTCGACCCGCGGACCTCGGGCTTGGATCCGGACCCGGTCCCTGTCCCGCTCCGCTCACCCG